GCTTCCAAATAGCTACTGGGAGCCTGAAATGTAACAGATATACAAAGCCATTACTCTGTTATGGTTAATATTAGGCAGAGATCTACAGTACATCTACCACTTACAACATAATAAAATAATAATAAAAAAAGACTTCGGACACCATAATTATAACATCAAGATGACTATAAAATGAATGAAATGTAAACTGAGGAGCATGCTTGAAAGCTCATTGCCAAATATCAAACCAAGAAAACTATATCTGTGAAGAAAGAAAGCAAATATAACATTTGGGAAAGCTAAAATTACTTTTGTACCTTTAAACTGAAAGATAATAGCAAATAACAGTGCTAATAAAAATATTGACAAGGTATGTCTCAATAAAACAATTATTAAAAATTTACAAAATGTATATAATGATAGGTAAATACTGTATATAGGAAAGGTTATGTCATAATGGATAAGTTGAGGAGCAGATTGGGTGCCTCGGGGTAAACCTGCATAATAAAATACATGTAATGGGTTTAAAGGAAGTTCAAATCATTTCAATATTATCTTCTTTATTTTGTCCACACATAGCAATCTTTCACACAGTACATTAACCCCACAAAGGACTGCCCAGATCTGAATGATGAACCCTGATACAGCTGTTCTAATTCAGCTTTGCTGTTTGCACTGTATAAAACTGCCTGTAAATGTGAACATAAGACAACCATTTCTTGAGCCTACACAAATCATTCAAATCAAAAAAGGATCCTATGTCTAAACATACACTGCAACCTCTGTAGACACCCCCAGTTCAACCAATATAACGAAAAAAAGTCTCAGAATGATTTTTTTGCAAACAATGGCTATAAATATGCTGTCGTTTGTATATGCTTAGTGTAGAAACAGGCACATTCAGCTAAGTCAATTTATGGAAAAAAATTTCATAAAGGTGTTCTTTAATTGGCTGAATATTCCATGCACAGTCTAACATCTATAGATAGGATATAAATGCTGGTGAAGCTGTGTTATGCCCCAAACACACGATAAGAAAATCGTCCGAAAAAGTTTACGGAACCACTGATCGAACGATTTTCTTTTCATTGATGAGCAGGATGTTTTAACCGATAATAATATTGTGAACGAAAATATCCGGTTGAACCACAGTGAAAAAAAGTTGTCGTTTCGCATATGAACTACCAATTTTCTATGCGGTGGTATGACCAGGGGTGTATTTACCACAAGGCAAACAAGGCATTTGCCTAGGGTGGCACTTTTCAAGGGGGCAGCACTGTCCCCTGGAAGAAGAGACAGAAGAAGGGAAACACGCGGCATGGGGACCGGGTGGAATCCAAGAGAGGCTGCGGGCTCCTTGGCGATGAATGCAGAGCCTTACTCTTATTCCAGGGGATGTCTGGAGCTGTGCAAGTGGGTGTCTTTCGCTCTTTCTCGCTGTAGGGTGGGATGGGGGTTGGGTTGGCTGGTGTACAGAGGGTGGTGATAGTGGAAGGCTCTCCTGGGTGGGGGGGGGGTCTGATTTTTGTGTTGCCTATGCTAGCACAAAGCCTAAATACACCACTGGGTATGACGGTCGTACGAAAAAAATCTATCAAGCGCTATCACGCATGAGCAGAAACAGAAGATGACTCAGATGTTTATGTCCAAGGAATCTTCGTAAACACGAACGAAAAATCCAAATGTTAAAAGTAGATTAGCCTAGTGAGATAATGAAACCAGAATTCTGCATATTATATGTTTATGTATCACTATTTATGTGTATAGTTAATGTAATAAACTATATTATACTCATTGCTGTTAATTGTTGTGTATATCGCTCGTTCTGGCTGGAAGGGCATGGCTACAAGGTCACATGCACACTGCATCACTTCCACTTGTATGGAAGACGTCAACACTATGTATTGCCCGATGAACGGGTTTTTTAGATTGGTTAATGTGGGCCACGATTTTGACCAACAAACAAACGCCTCTCGGTTGTTGGGTGACCGATCGGTCAATTTTCTAACCGTGTATTCCCACCTTAAGGGGCATAAGAAATTTGTATGCTCTCCCTGAGTTGTTATGGGTTTCCTACAGATAGTTTAGTTCATTGGGGAATTAATTGGTGTCTGATTTAATTGGTTCTACCAATTGTGTGAATGTATTCATAACTAGTAGAGACATTGGATTAAGAGCATCTTCATGGGAAGGACATGATGTGAATAGTTTAGCATGCTCTATAAAGCATTTTAGAATATGTTCATAAGAAAAACATTGGGTAAAATAAAATAATAAAAAAAAAAACATGCAAAAACCTAGAAAATGTATGTCTGTGTATCCAACAACCAGCAAAGTGACTGTTTTTTTTACATGCATCAGAAGAATAATATATAGAATTTGTTTTTTTTCTCCACATGATAGATTTTATGGTCAATTTTAAAATACAGAGCTGCTGGGTCCTCAAAATATGAACAAAGCATATCCCTCTAGAGTGTGTGATTGTCTCTATCCAGAGCTAAAAGTGTCATTTCTGTTTGCAGCTTCATTCCTCTGCTATCTACAGTCAGGTCCATAAATATTGGGACATCAACACAATTCTAACATTTTTGGCTCTATACACCACCACAATGGATTTGAAATGAAACAAACAAGGTGTGCTTTAACTGCAGACTGTCAGCTTTAATTTGAGGGTATTTACATCCAAATCAGGTGAACGGTGTAGGTATTACAACAGTTTGCATATGTGCCTCCCACTTGTTAAGGGACCAAAAGTAATGGAACAATTGGCTTCTCAGCTGTTCCATGGCCAGGTATGTGTTTTTCCCTCTTTATCCCAATTACAATGAGCAGATTAAAGGTCCAGAGTTCATTTCAAGTGTGCTATTTGCATTTGGAATCTGTTGCTGTCAACTCTCAAGATGAGATCCACTATCAGTGAAGCAAACCAACATTAGGCTGAAAAAACAAAACAAACCCATCAAAGAGATAGCAAAAACATTAGGCGTGGTCAAAACAACTGTTTGGGACATTCTTAAAAAGAAGGAACGCACCGATGAGCTCAGCAACACCAAAAGACCCAGAAGACCACGGAAAACAACTGTGGTGGATGACCGAAGAATTCTTTCCCTGGTGAAGAAAACACCCTTCACAACAGTTGGCCAGATCAAGAACACTCTCCAGGAGGTAGGTGTATGTGTGTCAAAGTCAACAATCAAGAGAAGACTTCACAAGAGTGAATACAGAGGGTTCACCACAAGATGTAAACCATTGGTGAGCCTCAAAAACAGGAAGGCCAGATTAGAGTTTGCCAAACGACATCTAAAAAAGCCTTCATAGTTCTGGAACAACATCCTATGGACAGATGAGACCAAGAACAACTTGTACCAGAGTGATGGGAAGAGAAGAGTATGGAGAAGGAAAGGAACTGCTCATGATCCTAAGCATACCACCTCATCAGTGAAGCATGGTGGTGGTAGTGTCATGGCGTGGGCATGTATGGCTGCCAATGGAACTGGTTCTCTTGTATTTATTGATGATGTGACTGCTGACAAAAGCAGCAGGATGAATTCTGAAGTGTTTCGGGCAATATTATCTGCTCATATTCAGCCAAATGCTTCACAACTCATTGGACGCCGCTTCACAGCGCAGATGGACAATGACCCAAAGCATACTGCAAAAGCAACCAAAGAGTTTAAGAGAAAGAAGTGGAATGTTATGCAATGGCCAAGTCAATCACCTGACCTGAATCCGATTGAGCATGCATTTCACTTGCTGAAGACAAAACTGAAGGGAAAATGCCCCAAGAACAAGCAGGAACTGAAGACAGTTGCAGTAGAAGCCTGCCAGAGCATCACCAGGGATGAAACCCAGTGTCTATGCATTCCAGACTTCAGGCTGTAATTGACTGCAAAGGATTTACAACCAAGTATTAAAAAGTGAAAGTTTGATTTATGATTATTATTCTGTCCCATTACTTTTGGTCCCTTAACAAGTGGGAGGCACATATGCAAACTGTTGTAATTCCTACACTGTTCATCTGATTTTGATGTAAATACCCTCAAATTAAAGCTGACAGTCTGAAGTTAAAGCACATCTTGTTCGTTTCATTTCAAATCCATTGTGGTGGTGTATAGAGCCAAAAATGTTAGAATTGTGTTGATGTCCCAATATTTATGGACCTGACTGTACATGAGTCACGTCTGAAATGTTTTCCTGACACCAAGAGAAAAAAGGTGACGGGAAGGGACCTCCAGCAGATTGACACCCTCAGCTCTGTTCTTGTGTCCTCTATTTAAGGGTGTGTCCCTTCTCTCCAGTCAGCTCTCATAACTCTCTTCACTGACCTCTGCAGTGTGCAATTTCAGCTCTCTGTCCCCTTTTTTTCTGACAGCTCAGACAGGCTCTATAAATTCTGGACTTTGAACAGATGTAGAGAAGAGAATACTGCAGATAAGCAGGTACAGTATTCTCTTCCCTACATCTTAATTTTGGTTGAAACATATGTGGATTGGATGCAGTTTGAACCATATCTAATCCACATGAGATGTGAAATAACATTGCTTCCTATGGTGCCCATTCACATATGTCCAGTGGACTGGCAGTGTGGATTCAGCGCAGATTGAAAAAGAGTCCTGCCTGGATTTCTGAGCAGTGCGGTCTGGTTCAGGTGCGGCCTAAAGTCTCATTGACTTCTATGGGAATCACTTCTGAATCGCACATGCCATGAGTTAATGAACATGATTTCAGACCATTTTTCTCTCTTCAAATTCTGACCTGAACCAGAACTGAACCTCTGAGTGACTCCTTTTCAATTTGCACTGAAACTGGAGCTGTCAAGCCGCGCCGCACATATGTGAATCGGCACAGAAGCATATCTACACTCTCCCATGCTTCACAGCCAAGGAAGTTGCCATATTAGCCTCTGTTTGATCTGCAGTTGACATGATGCTACACATGTGATCAGTTATGAAATCAGCCATTCGTTGCTTTGACAGCTTGGTTGAGAGCAAAAGCAAGTGTGATAGTTATCATAAGAAGAACACATATGCATGTAATCCAAGGGGATTTCATTCTAAAAATGTTACTAAACCCCGGACCCTGCATTCACTATATCTGGTCTCCCACAGTACACACAACATGGAAGTGCAATTATTTTAGTAAATATAAACTGCCAAATAGCTTTTTCTCATCAGCAGTTAGAGCAGTCTTGTGACTTCAGCTGAGCTCTGGCTAAAGATTGTAGGATGAGTTTTGTTTCTGCTGTAGGAGGATGCAAAACCCCTGACCTCTGTCTGGACAGTGCTGATTGGTCCTGTGCTGATCACATGCACTCTCCAAAGAAAAAAAAAAACCTCTCTAACAATACACACCAAACTGAGCATGTGCAGAAGGGCTACAGGTTCAGTCTGTCTTATCAGCATGGATATTTGAACAAGAGGAGGGGCAGAGAAGTCAGGATCAAGCAGCCTTTTTACAGAATGCAGAGGATTAACCCCTTAGGTTCCACAGTGAGTATAACAAGCATGCTTTACTGCATATACAGACTGATTTTACTGTTGTGGGTTTAGTAACACTTTAAAAAGAACTATCTCTGTTGGCCATAGCAAACAACCCCTTTCCTACTTTCAGTGCAGGTGAAAGTATGAATGGCAAATGTTTTCAGTTTGCTATGGATAATACATATTAGTACACAAGTGATAAGACCCCCTGAATCTCAATTACCAGCCTGCAAGTCTTTCCTTTAAGCAGTCTGTGGCCAACAGCTTTCTTCTGCTTCTGTTGGTAATACATATTTATGCCAAAATAACCAATAATGAATTATCCTCACATATTTTGGACTTATGAATTATTACATCTATTGCCAACAATCTTTCTAATGTGTGCAGTAGCGATGTTCAGAAATCAGTTCTATGCCCCGGGACTCTGGCACTCAGCAACCATCATTCTCATGCCAACTCCTATAAGAATTATATCTGTAAATTGTCTAGACAACACAAATGATTCCAGATGCACTGGGTCTATATTCTGCTTGTTATTACCCCACTTTATAGCTCTGCTGTTTTAGATTTATTGCATAAACGAATATATTAATACTTTGCAGATTATCAATGTATCTTTATAGACACAGGGAAAAAATGTTGTGTGTCATGATGAGGAACAGTCTACCAGCAGAAACAAGGTGAAGTACAGTTATATCTACAGTCACAACTTTTTTAATTTCGATTTGGATAGAGTGAGGGAAACCCCCACTTAGACTTCTGTCCTGGAAACAATTGTTCATGTTGAAAGGTTTCCCTACTATCACTGTTTTAGTGGCAACTTAACCTTTTGGATTCACCCATCACTTTTCTTTCCAGTGATATTAGTGATCAGGACAATCAGAGAGTAGGGGACTTCCCTAACTTCTCACCACTCTATTCATATAAAAAACTAAAGATTTGACTTTCAAGGGATAGTTCACCTTCACCAATGAATGCCTATGTAGGTAAGGGGCATCTGTGGATAAAAACAAACTGTCTTTGACGAAAGTTGAATAATGTCCTCGTTAGAGGTGTAGGCCATTTATTATTATTATACAGGATTTATATAGCTCCAACAGTTTGCTCAGCGCTTTACAATATAATGGGAGACAATACAGAAACAATATAGTTCAATACAAGAGGGTTAGGAGGGCCCTGCTCCTTGGAGCTTACAATCTATGAATGGTACATTTATGTACCTCATGAAGCCTGGCTGGAATACTCCCAGAATATTGCTAAGTGAGGCCTAGTCATTACTGCTCACACCCACCATCACAAAAGTGAGCTTTTTCTCTGATTCAGCCCCCCTCACATACTCTTTCTCTGCCCTGATACAGTACCACTGGGCTCAGCATCTGAGAACTCACTCCTGTGATGGAGGAGGTGAGCAGTAACAAAAAGAGACAGATAATAAAAGAGTCAGTTCATCAAAGTACTGTAAAATATCAGTGAGATAAATACAGCAAAAAAACATGAGGCCAGCCATTAAACTCAATTCACTAAGAAGCAAACATATTCATTATTTTATCACCTGGTGTTTGCTGGCGGTATTTTAGAAATGTACAAAATAACAAATAGAAGAAAGTATACAATGTGTGAAAATGTTCTCCTCTGAGCTCAGGAATGAAAATAAATTGTAACATTTCATCAGAAGGAGATCACTTTGTGAATGAATGAAAGAGCACTAGAATGTCTTCATAGTTTCACAATATTGCTGTGTGCCTTCTAGTGCATCTGGTGCAGAATTAGCCTGCAAAAAAAAAATTGTGGCACCAAAAACAATGCCAAAAATAATGCAAAATGTAAGAGCTAATTATTGTAAAACATAAATATTCAAAGCATTCAGTAAATAATACATTTTTAAAATAAATTGTCTACTTTTGAGATAAATACAGCATTAGTTATTTTAATTCAAAAATTAATGCCGTATTTATCTTTTAGTGAATTGACCCCTAAGCATTTTATTGAGTCAACACTTGTACAAGCTGTATTCTCAGAACCATCTTCTTCAGGGCTTTGATATAATTAAATAGTGGACTAAACAAACTACTTTAAAAATATTTACACAATTCATCTTAGGTTGATACCTTTATTAAAAAAGAACAGGATATTAAAAGCTTAATACTTAATGAATAAAAAATAACCGCATATACCCATTAGGAAGATATAGACTAATACAAGCAAGAAAAGAGGTGTCTGATTTACTATATTGTCTCATTGTATTACACTAAGCAAACTAAGTATACAAATACATTGCATGGCCAAATCTAGGGGGTGCTGGGGTAGGCTATGCACCCCCAGATTTTAGTTGTGCCCCCCTCCTCCAAAGCCACCCCTAACCGGACATTATACTGTCCTAACCTGCCACTATGCTGCCCCAATCGTGACACCTTATCACCCTCATCTGATACTTTACCTCCCTAGCCTGACACTATACTGTCCTTGACTGACACTATACTGATCTCAGGTACGTGCTGTGTGGGGAGGAGGAGCTCTGCTGTCTGTGCTGTGTGCAGCGCATGGATGGGAGAAGGAGCTGTGCCCCTGTCCTCCGCCCTACTAGCAGTGGCCCCTGTCCTCTGCCCTGCCGGCAGTGACCCCTGTCCTCTGCCCTGCCAGCAGTGACCCCTGTCTTCTGCTCTGCCAGCAGTGGCCCATGTCTTCTGTCCTGCCAGCAGTGACCCCTGTCCTCCAACCTTCCAGCAGTGACCTCTGTCCTCCGCCCCACCAGCAGTGACCCCTGTCCTCCGCCCTGTCATCAGTGCCCTCTGTCCTCTGCCCTGCCAGCAGTGACCCGTCTTCTGCTCTGCCAGCAGTGACCCCTGTCTTCTTTTGCTTTGTCTGCTTGTTAATACAAATGAAAGAGAAGAAGGCAGACCAAATATCTTATCTCAGGTCACAATGTTCCTCCTATTATGGTGAATGATTAAGCACTAAAGGTTCGATATATGGAAACTGTCTTGCTACTCATATAGTAAATTTTGACCATCAAAGCAATCCATTAGTGAAGGGCGAACACCCCCTTGTTTGGTTCGCGGTGGAACATTCAAACCTACCAAAAGTTTGACCGCAAACTTAAAACAGGGACAATTTACTGAATGGGATCTTACCGCATCTGAGTATGTGGTACAATACCGCTCAGGTACTAAAATACAGCATGAGTTAAATTATTAAATCATGCGGTATTTTAGTAGTGAAAACATTTTTTACTGTTTCAGCTGTCAGCATGGATCCTCGCTGACAGTTGAATGTCAAAAGAATTGTTGGCATTGCCTGACAATTAAAAAATATTTAAAAAACGATGTGGGGTCCCCCCTTCCATCCATAACAAGCCCTTTGGGTCTGGTATGGATTTTGAGGGGAACCTCCATGCCAAAATGTAAAAAAAAAATGGTGTGGGGTCTCCCCAAAATCCATACCAGAACCTTATCTGAGGATGCAGCCTGGCAGGTCAAGAAAAGAAGGGGAGGAGCTAGTGCCCCCCCCCCCCTCCTGAACCATACCAGACCACATGCCCTCAACATGAAGAGGTGCTTTGGGCATGGGGGACCCCCCATAGCACCTTGTCCCCGTGTTGATGGGGACAAGGGCCTCTTCCCCACAACCCTGGCCAGTAGTTGTGGGGGTCTTTGGGCGGGGGGACTTATTGGAATCTGGAAGCCCCTTTAACATAAAAAAAAAGTGTAGTGGAAAATGACAGGAGACAGTCTTTGACAAGTCCTTTAAAAAAAAACAAAAATAAAAAAATGTCCCCCAAAGTAGATCCGACATCAATCATGAAGCCTGCCGCCACTGCCAACCCGGAAAAAGAAAAAAAATGCTCTTCTCTCATCGCTGGCTCCCGGCCATCTGACAGCTGCACCATGATGACAGTTTTAAATATGGTGAAGAAGTCACGAGGTAACCCCGCCCCCTTGTGCCATCATCATGCACAGTGAATGGCCAAAGCATTGCACCTGTGGTCAGGTGCAATGCTTTGGTCAATCACTATGAACTGTCAGGGCACCCTTACCATTCGTGTGTTCAGTAAACACAAATGGCCAATGTTCGAGTCAAACTTATGTTCAGCTCAAACATAAAGCCCATCACTACAATCCATCAGAAATGGGGTGCTCTAAATGCACAGCTTAGTTGAATAACGATAAGTATAGAATAAGACCTTTTTTGTGGTCAATTAACCAACACAGATCAGGATATGGGAACTGAACATGAGGACACTTGACAACTCTTTAGCTGCAATATAACATATACTGCAAATACCACACATATGCAGCAATTAATTTCAAAGTTGCAGTTTTCAGACTAATGAAATTTTTTTAAAATAATTCCTTGCTATACAAAGCTCACCTCTATGAACCATGCAGATTTGCCCTACACTATAGATCAGAATTGTGCACGGTTTTACCTGCCCAATATGTACTTCAATTAACTCATATTTATGTATACAAATGCAGATTATAAACAGTACATCACAAAACCCCTAATAAATGTGAATATTGGTTTATTTTACAGCAGCTGATGCTTGGAATAGACTTTCAGCTGAAGTAGTGAGTCAGTCAACAGTAAGTGGATTCAAACATGATTGGGATAAATAGACCTAAATTCA